GAATTAAATAAAATTTCATTTGTCTTTTTTAAAAAGTCATAAAATCCTAATTTACTTGAGCGTGTTTGGATTGTTGCAGATTTTCATCCTTTTTGAGCTGTAACATTAGAAAATATGAATCTTTGACGATTATCTGTCAATAATTAACCTGAAGTAAAATCCATTGATATACAGTAAAAGAGCAGAAAAACAGGCTGCAGATGTTGATGAGTCGAGTTAAAGTGTAACCTGTTGACATCTGGCATGGTGGGACCATTTTCCACCAGGATTCACACACAAATACAGCCGACTAATGACGCTGTGCCCTGCACACATTTATCTGCCATCAGTCCTGCAGCAGAGACGCTTGGTGTAAAAACACAACCAGGAAGTGTTTCAAACCAGACGTCCAGCTGGCTTTGGATTCAAGGAAACACGTTTAACTGTCACAGAAAGGTAAATACTGGGTGATTATCTGCCTGCCTCAGGATCAGGACCAGGGGCTGACCACCTCTACCTGCAGCTACAGGTGTGTGTTACACAACACCATGGTGGAAAAACATCAACTGTTTCTGCCCTTTGATCTATGAGGGGTCAAAGGTCAATTTACTACCTGGAGTTCTTGGTTCTACACAAAGAAAAATGATTCACAAATAGAAACATTACAGACAGCTGACAATCCTCCAAGGAGTGGATGTTCCAGGAAATTCACCCCGAAGGACAGACTGTGTAATGCTCAGCTTCTCCAATGCTAACACCAGCTTATCCATGCTAGTCACTGGCCTCTCCGATGTTAACACCAGCTTATCCATGCTAATTGCTAGCCTCTCTAATGCTAATGGCAGCTTATCCATGCTAGTCACTAGCCTGCCCGATGCTAACACTATCTTATCCATGCTAGTCACTAGCCTGCCCGATGCTAACACCAGCTTATCCATGCTAGTCRCTAGCCTYTMYGATGCTAACACCAGCTTATCCATGCTAGTCGCTAGCCAGTCCAATGCTAATGTCAGCTTATACATGCTGATTGCTAGCCTCTCTAATGCTAACACCAGCTCCAGTGACTCAATATTTCAGGACCTTGACAGTGTGAAGGACTGAAGGAACTGTCTAAGGTCCTGAAAGTGCTTAAATGTTTCAGGACTTTAGACAGTGGGAAGGACTGAAGGAACTGTCCAAGGCCCTGAAAGTGCAGAAATGTTTCTGGACTTTAGACCGTGTGAAGGACTGAAGGAACTGTCTAAGGTCCTGAAAGTGCTTAAATGTTTCAGGACTTTAGACAGTGGGAAGGGCTGAAGGAACTGTAAAAGGCCCTGAAAGTGCTGAAATGTTTCTGGACTTTAGACAGTGTGAAGGACTGAAGGAACTGTCCAAAGTCCTGAAAGTGCTGAAATGTTTCAGGACCTTGCACAGCGTGAAGGACTGAAGGAACTGTCCAAGGTCCTGAAAGTGCTAAAATGTTTCTGGACTTTAGACTGTGTGAAGGACTGAAGGAACTGTCCAAGGCCCTGAAAGTGCTGAAATGTTTCTGGACTTTAGACAGTGTGAAAGACTGAAGGAACTGTCCAAGGTGCTGAAAGTGCTGAAATGTTTCTGGACTTTAGACAGTGTGAAGGACTGAAGGAACTGTCCAAGGTCCTGAAAGTGCTGAAATGTTTCTGGACTTCAGACTGTGTGAAGGACTGAAGGAACTGTCCAAGGTCCTGAAAGTGCTGAAATGTTTCTGGACTTTAGACAGTGTGAAAGACTGAAGGAACTGTCCAAGGTCCTGAAAGTTCTAGAACTTTTCAGGACCTTGGACAGTGTGAATGACTGAAGGGAGTGTCCAAGGTTCAAAGTGCTGAAATGTTTCAGGACTTTAGACAGTGTGAATGACTGAAGGGAGTGTCCAAGGTCCTGAAAGTTCTGGAACGTTTCAGGACTTTAGACAGTGTGAAGGACTGAAGGAACTGTCTCCTCATTTGCCACCACCAGCCTCTCAGTTAGCGGTGTYGGTCCACCATTAATCAGATCAATAGCTGGATTAGGAACAGATATAGCCTCACGCTACAAGGATGTAGTAATAGCTGGTTGCACAATAGTCTTAATTTTGGTAAATACATCTCAGACCTTACAGGTCTCATGGTTAAAGGTCATGGCTCTCTCTAAAACCAACAACACGCTTTATAAGGCTTTTTCTGAAGGAACCACAGACTCCTCCCTGCTGTCAGCACGGAGGTGGAGGCTGATGGTCTGATGAGTGGACCATGTGTGAGTCCATCTGTCTGACAGCTGAAGCTTGGACCAAACTGGGTCCAACAGAACCGTGATCCCAAATACAGCAGCTGGTCTACAACCGAACGGGTCAAAAACAAAAGTATCAAGGTCCAGAACACTGGACCATCAGAGAGCTGAGCAGAAACCTCACTGAACTGAAACAACAATGGAAAAACGAGTGAAAAACTGATAAACAGAAAACCACTGGTCCTGGATCAGGTTCTGGACTTAATGACACAGTTTGAGTCTGTTGTGTGTTTTTCTTTAGTTTTAATGTTTTAAATCATTTTTATGTTCTGATACGTAAAACCTGAGAACTGAAAGTTGGATTCTCTTTGTTCTCGGTATAAACTTCATGATGTTTGATGAGTTCTGCTAAATAAAAAAAGGTTCTGAATGCTCCAAATGAAAAGAGAGATCCTGCTTCCTGGCAGGGATCCAGCAGGCAGGAAGTCCAGGCTCGATCAGAGGGGAGGCATCAGTAATGGATGAACAGGGAAGGGGTGGGTGTTTAGTGTCGGAGAGAGGAGGGTCATAAGAAAGGTCTGCTCTGAATGTTTGGACTCTCTCAGTCCTCATGGCGTTGACCGAAGGGACCGGAGTGATGCTGGACTCACTGGTTTCTGCAGGACGTTTTAGGAACACTAGGACATTTTGGGATCAGTCGGTGTGAAAACTGCAACACCAACAAAACAGGAAACTGAATTTCTTTTTGATTTTTGCTTCACTTTTTTACATTCCAGTTTTGATTTTGACACAGAATCCAATCAGAACCATGCTGATTCTGGTCAACGGCAGGGTTTGATTTTAACTTTTAAAAAATGTCTCATCTGAGTGGACCAACCAGCACAGTGTCTTCGGCCGACACGACCTCCGACAGCCTGGACTGCGAGCAGCTGAGCTCTCAGGGTGACCGGAGGGTGATGGGTCTGGTCCTGAGCATGGCCGCCTGCCTCATCATCTCCACCAACCTGCTGGTGGCAGCCGCCCTGCTCAGGCTCCTGCTGAGGAGGAGCAGCCAGAGCTGGGCCCTGGTCCTGAACCTGGCCCTGGCAGATACCCTGCTGGGTGTCGGTGTCACCGGCCTCGCTGCGGAGGACTTCAACAGCAACTTCGTTCGGAACCAGCACATCGTTTCTACAAACGGCACCTCCTCAGCTCCTCAGGGGAAGACCCGGTGTTTGGTGAGAATGGCCTTCGTGACATCACCTTGCATGGCGTCCATCTTGTCCATGTTCCTGATTTCTTTGGACCGGTACGCCGCCATCAAGATGCCCCTGCGTTACGCCCTGCTGTCCAGGAAGGAGACCGCTGCCGGGTTCCTTCTGGTTCTGTGGGTCAGCTCCATCACCATGGGCTTTCTGCCAGGTGAGACTTAAATGACGGTCAATTATGGTGATAATCTCCATGTCCAGATTCATAATAATAATATAAGTATTATACACGGAAGTACATTTGGACTGAAGTTTTTAAATGTACAAACACAATAAGTTTCAATATTTCCTTGCATATAACTCAATCATTCCCCCTCCCTCCTGTTTTTAGTCGTACATAGTGAAACATAAACAGTAGTTGTTTACTCACCCAAGTAAGAGGAGAAAAAATGTTTTTTCTTTGTTGTTAACTGCAGCGATGTAAAGAAGACCTGGACTTTAGTWGCATGTTTTGATAAATCCAGCTAATTAACGTCCAGCTTCTGCTCTGTTCTGTTTTCTCAAAGACACACGGAACCGGAAACTTCCGCTGCTCTTCCTCCGCAGAACACGCCCACACAACTGTGTACCCAAATAATGTTTCCCCACCAGGGGGCGCCCCGCCAAGACKGGAAAACCCTGCAGTCTAACTTATATGAGCGGAGTTGTAAAATAACTACGAACAAATACTTTGTTACTGTACTTTAGTATAAGTTTTGGTTATCAGTACTTTACTTGAGCAATTATTTTTCAGCCTACTTTTTACTTCTACTCCTTACGTTTAAAAAAAAGCTCAGAAGTAGAAAGTGGTTACTCCTGTTTCACTCTGGTTCGTATTGTAAAAATAAAAATAAATAAAATTGTATACTATCCTGGCAAATTGTGCTTCCAGGATAGAGTGATTTTAACTTTAGTTGGATGAGAAGTATAAATATATATTCTGATGGGAATTAGTTTGTGCACAATCCATCACAGCTGCACACCTTTAGAAAAAATGTTTTTTTTTTTTTTTTGGAGAAGTCACCTCCCAGTAAATGTCATTTTAGAAACTCTAACTATTCATTTTTACTTGATACTTTTACTTTTAATACTAAGACATAAGTACATTTTATATCAGAATTTTACTTTGATACTTGCACAAAAAATCAGATACTTTTGATCAAGTAATATTCTTACAAGAGACTAACTTTTACCAAAGTCATTTTATGATAAGGTACTTGTACTTTTATTCAATTTGAGGTACTTTTCAAGATTAAATGAGTGATGGCTTCATACATGATGAATAGATTTTTGTGCTTTTTAAGTTAAAATGATGATCGTATTATACATGAATAAACGAGGCTGTTTTTAACTGTTTCTCTGTGATTTGAACGTGTCAGATGAKAAATAACTCCTGATCGTTGCTCCTCAGTCATGGTGCAGGAGCTGCAGTCCAGGAGACCCTACGACGGATACTGCGCCCTCTTCTCCGTCACCCACGACATCACCATCATCGTCCTGTACTGCCTGCTCTTCTTCCCGGTGCTCGCTCTCTTCGTCTACATCTACCTGGACATCCTGAGGATTGCCTGCAGCCACCAGAGGCAGATCTCCCAAATCAGACAGGCCAGTTCCAGGACTGACGACCAAGATCCAGGTCCTCATCAGTACCAGCACCAGCAGCTGAGGGGTGGCTACTGGAGCCACGTCAAGGCCTTGAGGACGGTGGCGGTGCTCATCGGCTGTTTCCTAACCCTCTGGTGTCCGTTCTTCGTGGTGTGCATTGTGCACCTTGTGTGTGACCAGTGTGGACTGAAGGATGTTCTGGAGAACTACCTGTGGCTGCTGGGGCTCTCCAACTCCCTCATAAACCCTCTGGTCTACGCCTTCTGGCAGAGAGAGGTGCGGCTGCAGCTGGCGGACATGTTCTCCTGCATCAGCAGCAGRTTTCTGGCTGCTGGACCGTCGGGGGTCACGGAGCCATGCCAGCAGGTGGCCCCTGCTCAGACACACACCTGTGTTTCTGAAGGAGACACCCCCAACCCCTCGCTGATGCAGCCGGTGAGCAGCTCCGAGGCTCACAGAGCGCCGCTGTCAGACACAACCAGCTTGTGAAAAAATAAAAAAATAAAACCACAGAAAAACACGAGGGGAAAAAAAATTGTTGGACGTAAGATAAAATTCATCTTCTGTTACCTGGATGTTTGAGAAACTCCATCCTGATTGGTTTGACAAAGAGACGTTTGCACAAATATAAAGTTGTAAATAAATATGATGCAGTAAACAACTGTGTATGCCCATAGTACTGTGTACAACAAMATGTCAGAAAATACTCCACATTCATTTACTTTCTGCCTCTAAAGCCTGGGAGGAATSTGSGATTTATGAAATAATCTAAGCTCAACGCAGCTAAGCTTTTATTTTGAAAGAGCAGGTTGCTGCTGACCCTCTGACCTGTCCTGAACATCTCTGATGAGAGACGACAGCTAGGGTCTATGATGGTAACGTAGAAGAGAGAAAAGCATGCTGGGTAATATAGCAGACTCCTGGTACTGTCTGCCATGGTGATTAGTAAAATACCTTGAAGTACTATCAAAGTGAGTACTTTTAAAGCGTTTTCTGCTCTTCAGAACTTGTTTCTGAGCAGCAGAGAGATGCTGCTGTCCTCACAGTGGGAAGCCGGCTCCTGAAAGCAGCGTGGAACATGAGGGGTCAGAGGTCAGTGGTAGGAGAGGGCCGGGGGGTCCCAGTGAGAACATCTTGACTTTCTGGAACCCGTTCTGCTCCGTCCTGACGTCCCACAGATTCCCGCAGAAGACGTTCCCAGAGGAAATTCCACAAGAGAAGAGGGACAGGAAGTGTGCCAAAAACTGGAATGATGAAATGAGAAAAATAACCAGAATTGGAGGAGTTGCCAAAGACCCTTAATGGTACTTTTTTATGTGAACGCAACTATTTTGGTTCTTTAATGACAGGAAATCGAACACATCCATCAGTTATTGGTTCAGTCCCAAACACTGAAGGAAACAAGCTTCTAAATAAACATTAATAAGTTATGATGAACTGAAAAGTCCTAACAAGTCAACACGCAGCTTCTTTTATTAAATTAGAATAAAGAGTGAGCCGTTAGCTCATCAGGCTACAAAAAGCTCATCTTAAATGGTCAGACGTTACCTTGTAAACAAGAAACCCAACATGAAATAAAAAATAATAYATTTCCAGCTGATATGAAGCAAACAAAGCAACAGATGAAAGCCTGCAGCCTCTCAGTCTGCAGTAAACACACAGATTTATGTTATCAAGCAGTTTAAGTGCTTCGTTCGTACACACCACTGAGGGATGAAGAGGAGGATCATCACCMAGATTCAAGCAGCCGAGGAAGTTCCCCTGAATGAACCTTCATCCAGGTATGAAGCACAAGATAAACAGGCCCAGTATCAGCTCTCAATCAGCCATCAGCTCAGACTAGCTGTGTGTAATACGACAAAATAAAACACAGTGGGCAGATAACTCCAGGTCAGGTTCCAGCCTGTCGCTCAACCTTTGAGTCCTGCACGTTTGGGATTATTTCTGCTTCACTTCACTCACAATAATAAAGATTTAAAAAAAATCACAAACAGAGACTGAAACTGGGAGATTATTGATGAAACAGGGGAAAGCTGCTTCTTTTCTTGTTACATTTATRAACAGATAAAAACACAGGGACAGGATGAAAGTGGGCTCAAAGAAGATCTCTGCTGCCATAAAATATATATAATCCCAGAAATTTACCAGCWTTTTATAGAAATACAATAATTTACTGAAGTTAAATTAACTCAGCAGCTTTTAGCTGAAGATTTAGAGTTTTTTTCACCACCAGATGGCGCCAGATTTACCCTCTTCAACTTCCTGTTTCTGCAAACATTTGATCAACAAAAATGGAGTTCATTCTTAAAAACGAAGTGTCTAACATATATAT